TATTTTCAATAACAGAAGAGGGAAGTCTATTTATCAAAAATATACTATGAGACAAGGCATAAGACCAATAAGCATAGGGAATGTTAGACTGAAAAATCAAACTACGTGTAACATTTATTATGTGTTGGTGCTTACGTTCCACAACATAATTTTGTTGTGGAGTTTCAACACATCTTCTTTGATGTTCAATCCCATATGAATCATATATGCTGGAACAGTTGAATTCAGGTCCATTGTCAGTTCTAACAGTTTTGACAGTTTTATTAAATTGGGTCTTAATTTTTATGATAAAAGCTTGTAGAAGTTCCCTAGTTTGACTCTTATTATGCATGAGAAAAGCCCAAGTATGCCTACTGCAATCATCAACAATAGTGAGAAAGTATCTATGCCCATGGATAGATGGGATGGAAATAGGACCCCATATATCACAGTGTATTAAATCTAAGCAATTAGCAGACATAGAATTATTCTTAGGAAATGGCAATCTGTGTTGCTTAGCATAATGGCAAATGTCACAAGCATTATCATAAGTAGTTTGAACATAAGGAAAAATCTTGCATATTCTTTCAACAGTTTTGTGTCCAGAATGGCCTAGCCTATAGTGCCACAAATTTATATTTACATGTTCATATGAGAAAACAAAACTGTGTGTCTGGTTCTTTCCAAAAGACTGTAGGTAGTAAAGCCCTTTGTACACATTAGCACATCCAATCATCCTTAATGTAGAGCTGTCCTGAATTTGGCATATCTTAGAGGAAAAAGTCAGTGTGCAATTTATATCTCTAGTTAGACTTTGGACAGATATGAGATTGAAAGTAAATTCCGGTATATATAAAACATTAAAGATTATCAATTCATTTGAAAATTGTACAGTCCCTGCATAATGTGCAGTGACAATGGAATTGTTTGGCATTCTGACAGATATTGGTTTGATTTTATTGAATGTTAAGAATTGATTCTTGTCATGGGTCACATGATCAGTGGCCCCTGTGTCAATAATCCATGAGGACATACCTTGTTTGTTATCTGCAGTATCTTTGTGTATTTGACTGACACTGTGAAGGGATTGTCCACCTTTTCAAGCATTTGTAGCAATTTTTGCATTTGTTCTGGAGTGAAGGAACTCTGAACAGAACTTTGAGTAGGGTTCTGAGTAGGATTTTGTTGATTGGTCTGTGAGACAGTAGATGTAGAGCAAGCATTGGCAGAACCCCATTCACTTTGTCCCATATTACTCTGACTGTTACTGTCATTTTTCTTGTACCATGGTGGATATCCATGTTTAGAATAACATTCATCAACTGTATGGTTCATCTTATGGCAATGGGAGCATTGCTTCCCATAGTTTGGGTTTCTTCCTCTCCCTCTTCCTTGGCTGCGAGGTGCAGATCCACGTCCATGACCTTTCCAATTCTGTTTTTCAGTGGTGTTGACAAGTATCTTGATATCACTTTGATTGGTGAGGCCAGAGTCATGTTTTTCCTGTCTTTCTTGCTGCATGATGAGAGAAAATACACGGTTGATGTTAGGTAGGGGCTCCATCAACAATATTTGTGTCCTCACAGTATTATAACAGTCATTTAGGCCCTTTAGGAAACAAATAACATGTTCCATTTCTCTGTATTTATGAGAAATCTTAGACAATTCACAGCTGCAGGGAATCTTGCAGCTACAACTTGGGATGGGTCTGAGAAATTCCAGTTCTTCCCACAAGATCTTTAGATCAGTAAAATACTGACTCACACTCCTTTCTCCTTGTTTAATAGAGTGGATTTCTTGGAGCAAATCTGAAAATTTAAAGTAGTCTCCTTTAGAGAACCTTTCTTTTAATTCTTCCCATAGCTCTTGAGCATATTCCACATATATAACACTTTCTGCTATTTGGGCAGAAAGAGTCTTGATGATCCAAGACAGTACCATCATGTTGCTTCTTTCCCAAGAATCAAAAAGTGGGTCATTTCTTGGAGGTTTCTTGATTCCTCCATCTATGAATTTTAGCTTGTTCTTGGAAAGGAGGGCTCTTCTCATATTTCTGCTCCAAGATGTGTAGTTGGATTCATTAAGAATCTGAGAAATAAGGGAGGTGCCTGGATTCTCTCCTGGATGGAGGTAAAAAGGGCTAGAAGGGTTGTTGGATTGTTCCATATTTTCCATAACAGCAAGACAAGAAAAGATTATCCAAAAAAAATATAAGAGAGATTTAAGCACAGCAGAAACAGGGGCAGAACAGGTACAGGACCTGCTCTGGTACCATATTAAAACAAAGGCCCAATGACTGAGGCCCAAAAAGGCTCAGGTCTGAGAGTCTAAAAGAAAGCTCTGGAAGCTTTCCTCTGTCAGAGAGTTGGTGGATTCCAACTCGTGCTGCTCGTGAGAGAAAGAAAGAGGCGAAGGAAGAACTCCATGGTGTTCCAGCTCCACTCGCAGCAGCGATGGATGTGCAGAATCCAGAGCCCAGTTGCAGGGAAGGAGAGGCGTAGTGACAGAGGTAAGAAACACTTCTATTATTGCTTTTGATAGAATGAAAAATGCTGAACTCAGTTTTCTTCTTTCTTGACTTAGACAACACACTGAAACCCTGTATATATAGGGTTTCGGTAAGATCAAGAAAGTTAACAAGAAACATTAAAACTCTAACAGAAAACCCTAAAACACAAATAACACTAAAGGACAAATTAATGCTGTTAGGAGCATTAACCATAATAACAGAAACATTAATAATATGAAAAAAAATATGTTATATAACTTTATGATTTTATAAAAAAATTATAGGTGATCTCACGTATGCATTCAATAGCTAGTTGTCCAGTATAATTGATAAGAGTCAAACAAAACTGATAAATTGTCAAAAACAATATCAAATTGTTAAATAATAAGAATTGATTACTTTTACAGGTGATGTACTACTTAAACAATGCAAAAGAATAAACATACACAGTTGAATATGCTCTGGATTTTAATAATATCAAATTGTGTACAAGCACGATGAAACATTTACAAAATAATGATATTTTGAAAACTTCCCTTAAGAAATCTCGTACTTAACACCAACTCCAATTTATAGGGAAAAGAAAGAAAAACAATGCGACAGGGAAAGTAGTTTACAGGATTATGAATTGCTTCCCAAATAGCTTTCATGACAGAGACTATGTCTGTTTTGGTGGTAAAATAGCTTATTCCTTAGAGTTCCTTCAACTGTTGAAACCCTTTAATTGGTAAAAGCAAAACGGATAATGAAACAAATAAATACAAAACACTCATGTTCAAACTTATAATAAAATCACAAGAGTAGAAAAAGAAAAAGGAATCATGAATAAATCATACAAATCTTTAAGCTTGGCATCTCAGAGACAGCTTAGAGGGAAGATCTCCAGTAAAGTTGTCTTTTTCAAGAAGACTGCAAGTCTAGAAATACATTTTGTCAACAATATATTGGCTTGCTAGTGGACCATAAATAAAACCAAGAAAAATATGTCAATAACTGCAATCATGTCACTAAATAACCTACAGATGAAGAAGTTAATTCTTTCCATTCAGAAGTCTGCAAAATTACAGGACATTTATTTATAATATAAACTACACACTAGTTATTAAACTTAAATTTACTACGACAACACTGTACTTATAAAAAATAAGAAGAAGACCAACTAAAATAAAAATTGAATGAATTAAAATAAATAGTATAGCTTTGATACAAATTTTATCCAAATTTAGACCTTATAGCCAATAATATTAGAATTTAGACCTTATCGTACAATAGAAGTTGGAAAATTGTGATAGTTCTTTTATTTATTTCATTGAAAGTGGCGAGAATTAGGATCACATTTATTCATATTCATAGTGAGAATAAATATTATTAATACTTTTGTTTTCACCCATGAGCTTCTCTCTTAATGAAAGTTGAAAGGTGGAGTTCCAAAGTGACTAGTCCTTTATTCTTTGTTTATTTGAATGAATTTGAGAGAGAGTGATTGAGTGGATTTGATAGGATTTGAAGATAAATTTTTTTGTTGTTTATTTGAGTGAATTTAAAAGTAAGTAAGAATGAATTTGGAAACAACGTTTTTGAGAATTAGTGTAGAATTTGATTGACGTGACAGATTGAAAAAATTTATTTCCAAATTCACCTTCAAATTTCAAATCCACTCAATTACTCTCTTCATTCAAATTAACAAAGCCTGAGCGAAGATTAACGACTGAAATTTCAGGAGTTATTTAGCAATAAATTTTCAATTTGGTGGTTAATGAGTTTGCCACCAAAGTTTTCGAAAGCGATTTTAAGCGTTTTAATAGTCGAAATAATGGTCACTAAAATGCAAATCTCTTATTTATATTTCTCTTGTTAAAGTTCTTATGTTCTTATTTCATTATGATATTTCAACTTAAGTCATCTTTCTTTCTTATCTTGGATGTAAATCTTCATACTTAATTTTGAGTTTTAAACTTTGCTTGCATCTTTTACCAATGTAATTATGACCACTGCTTTCGATCATACATAACTGCTACACTGCACAACTTTGTAAGAGCATGTTATCATAGTAATCAACACCTATCATTTCATTTTTTTTTTGTCACATAATAACACTAAAAAGTTTTTACATATTTTTCTCTTTCTGTGTCATTTGTTATTTTGGGTGTATATGTAAAAATTTTCTAAAAATATATACCAATCTTTTACACATTTGTTGAAGTAACCTGCAGTTTGTCTCATCTGTGATGCATGAAATTATGTAGAAGTCATAAGTATCATTGCGAACAGTAATGAAAGATAAGGTGTAGAAATGTAAAACCCTCTGTTCTCACTAAAGGAAAAGACACTCTTGCCAATCGAAATTACAACCAATTTTCGGATCATTACCATATTAAATGAGTTCCCATATTAGTGAGTTCTGAAAATGATTCAAACTGACAAAATTAGAGTAGTTTACATAATTCCTGAAAGATGTTTCTTTTTTCTATTCTGTAATTTGATATGTAGAAGTATATAACTAAAGTCTTGGTCATGTGTCAAAGGATATGGATTTTTCTTCCTCCTCTATCAAAGCATTTGTCATCACTGCAACTTGGCTCATGCTTGGCCTGTCATTTGGAGATGGATTTAAGCATTTTAATGCTACCTGCAACAGATTCATCATCCTCTCTTCCGAAGCACCCTGTGAGATTAGGGACTTGTCAAAAACTTCAATGGTCCATTCCTCTCTGACCACTGAATCCACCCATTTAACTAGATCAAATCCATCATTTTTAATCACTTTCCCTGTCAACAGCTCCAGAAGTATCATACCCAAGGCATACACATCAGCTTTGAAGGTGGCTGCAATTAGATCTTTGCTTTTGATGCCTTTGTTATGCGAAATGACAAACTCATCATAATTTTCTGCCATCATTAAGCCATATTCGCTTATGCATGGATCCATATTCTTGTCAAACAAAATGTTATTTGACTTTAAGTTACCATGTGCTATTCCATTATCAACAAACTCCTCATGCATATATGTCAAAGCCGAAACTATCTTAGCAGCAACATTTAGTCTTCTTCCCCAGTCAAACGTGAGGCCACTTTCAGATCCTAAAATCATTCAAGGTGAAGAAACACATTTGGTTAGTTTGGCAACGGAATTTTAGTTTTCATATCTCAGGCACTTTTTTCCTAATTTAATAGTGTTTCCATTTAGCACAGACTAGTTATATAATATGTCAAACTATGGTCACACATGCTTCATTACTTGCAATGTAAAATGATTGTAACGACACTTATTTTGCTTAGAAGTTACCACTTACCAGCATAGAGCAACATGAAGAGACTACCATTCTGCATATATTCATATGCTAGGAGCTTCTCTTGCTGAGAACAATAATATGCAACAGGTGGCAATACGCGTGGATGCTTGGCTTGGGCTATCAAATTCATCCTTGTCTGAAAATCTTGCTTAGAAATCCCCCAATCCTTAATCCTCTTCACTGCCAACTGCACCCCATTATCGAGCATAACCTTGTAGAGGCTTCCATGCTTTCCCCTTCTAATCAATTCGGCAGGAGCACCAAGCAAGTCCTCAAATTGCAATCCTCTAAGGGTTCGACTTGAAAGAAGAACAAGACCTGATGTTGTCATCCCACTTTCCAAAGATGTCAATGAATACTCCGATCTGATCCCAATGTACTTCTTTGATCCATTGGAATGGGATATTTCACTAGCCATGCCAACAACACCAACACTTTCTTCTGCCTTTTCCTTCTTTTCAACATCCAACACTTTTTCTTTAGTCTTGATCTTGCATAACAGTTTAAAGGTCAAGAAAATCAGCGTAATCAAACCAAGGACTAAGTAACCTGAATAAATGAATAAATCATTAGGGAACGAGTTTTTGTCCTTTTCATGTGGTGGTGGTGGTGATGGTGGAGGAGGAGGAGGAGGAGGAGGAGGAGGAGGACATGCATTTGAAAGTGGCTCCCCACATAAGTTAGGATTCCCAGTAAAGCTGTCTGCATGGAATTTACCTCCGACATCAGGAACTGGACCATGTAAATTGTTATTAGAGACATTAAAGTCTTTAAGGTTGGAGAAGTCAAAACTAGGAATCTCCCCAGTGAAGTTGTTGTTTTGAGCAACGAAGGATATCAAACTTGAAACATGAACCATTTTAGGTAGCTCTCCAGTTAACTTGTTATCCGAAATATGAAGCCGTATTATGTTACTTAGATTGCCAATAGAAATAGGAAGGTCCCCAGAGAATTGGTTCCCACTTAAAAACAAGTGAGTCAATGACTTGCAGTTTCCTATATCCTCTGGTATCGAATCATGTAAATCGTTGTCCTTCAGGCTAAGCATTTGAAGAGACTTTGTAATGCAAAGAGAACCGGCGTCAAAACCTCCACCAAAATTGAACTTCTCAAGAGTCACACTCATAACGTATTTGTTATCTGAATGGCACTTCACACCGTACCACTTATCAATGCAGGGATCTGACGAAAGGTTCCAACCCCACGAAGGGTCTGTTGGTACATACCCTGGTGCCAATTTATCCATGAATGTGACCAGGGCCTTGATCGTCCCTTCTTCTTCTGAATTGGCCACTAGAAGAAACAAAAAGATGGCATTGAAGAATACCCAGATGAGTTTTACACTCATTTTTACTGTGTTTGGTGCCTATATTTTTGGTTTCAAAGTATACTCTGTCGCGGTTTGGATGATCAAAATAGGGAAATTGGTTGAACTGTATTGTAGTAAATAAGATGCAATGTGCAAAGGCATCAAATTACATTGCCAAATGGAGATACGAAACAATCATCTTGTGTAGTATTGTGGATGACATTGACGTTGAGAACCCTTGGAAACGAGCCAAAGGGCAGAACAGTAGCTTTTGCAGCCGGCATTTTGAAATGGTCACAGTGGCACTACTAGCTCGCACGTCTCTCTCAATGCTTTTCTCCACTCCTTTTACTATTGCTTTATGATGCTTTCACTCTAATTTTTCAACTTTACGAATCCCATTACTTCGCTCGAATGCGAATAGTAGCACGTAATCGGTGCACCACGTACGAGGCGCTTCAAGCCTTCAACACCAAAATTCGGACCACTTGTTCTGTATCTGTTGCTAACTAATACTTCAATGTTGTTAAAAGGTAATTCTGCAATTTTCATTATTAGAATTACAATAACAACAATGGTCTTGTATTTATTCCTATATATATATATATATATATATATATATATATATATA